TAAATATTTATCAAATTTAATTTATAAATAATTTTTTTACATATTATTTATCTTCGCGGATTGTATTTCATCATCCGTTAAATTTTGGAATTCAGATTCTAGACGCTAAACAGCTAATAGGTGCAGCCGATGTAGCAGTTAACATCCCATCAAAAGAATGAGAGTGAGTGTTCCCTCATTCCCACTTACCCTTGTAGTTATCTGCACCAAATCTACCTGATCACCTTGCAGCTTATATATGTTGGATCCTTTCTCTCATCCTTCTTCGCCCATACATTGTAAAAAGAAGCAATTTAAAAGCCAACGGTGCCTTCTGCTTTTGTTAATCAAACCATCAATTTCTCTTCCTCAAACTTTGATAGTACGTACTTATGTCCATTTTTGCTTGATCAGTCTTCTCTCGTAGAAGATTATTTAAGGATAAGGGAACTAAAGCCAATTGTTTAGTGTTCCAGATAGACAAAACTAACCATGGCGGAGACCTTCTTGCCTTTTCGTGGCATCAAAAATGACCTGAGAGGGAGACTGATGTGTTACAAGCAAGATTGGACAGGTGGCTTTATAGCAGGCTTTAGGTACATGCTATAATACGCTTTCCGTCTTTGCTGATATTAAAAATATTCGTCATGGTCTATTATCTTTTCTTGCACTTTTAGGCTTTCCCTATTGGTTATTCCTAGTGACTCAACTCTGATCTTTCCAGGATTCTGGCTCCCACCATTTACATTTTCTTTGCTTCTGCGCTTCCTGTCATTTCATTTGGTGAACAACTTAAGAGAGATACTGGTATTTTAAACATTAAACTGATCTATAAAGATTAGTTTTAAATCTTCTGTAGATTTTTTTTTTCTCTTTTCTTCTGATCATCTTACTTTACGTGAAGAACAAAGTGAGCAACAGAAAAGTTTGTAACATATATCTGATCGATATTGTTACATGTAAAATCTCTTCACCTTGTAATCTGCAGATAGAGTTATCACAGCAGTTCAAACATTAGCATCCACGGCACTTTGTGGGATTATACACTCAATAATTGGAGGTCAACCTTTGCTGATATTAGGAGTTGCTGAGCCAACGGTCATTATGTATACATTTTTGTTCAACTTTGCTAAAGACATACCGGATTTGGGTCGGGACCTGTTTCTAGCATGGACTGGATGGTGAGCTGTTGCCTCTACTTTTCTTTAATGAATAATTAGCCATACCATGTTAATATTTTTGTCAGGCCTTCAATAGGATTCATTAATTAGATATTTAATACATTTGCTGCTATATTTGATAAAAGTTGCCTGGTTTTTTTTAATTTTCCAGGGTATGTGTGTGGACTGCAGGCTTGCTGTTCTTACTGTCTATCTTTGGAGCTTGTTCCATAATCAACAGGTTTACCCGTGTGGCTGGAGAACTGTTTGGTCTGCTTATAGCTATGCTGTTTATGCAGCAAACTATCAAAGTAAGAACATTTATCATGATCTGATAGTTATTTTCTTCTACTGTATTAATTACACCAATTAAGATGCTACTAATGCAATTCGTGTAACATGGTGAATGTTACCGGAATGTGCAAGATTTATCTAGACCTTTTGATAGCTTTACTCAGATATAGTAGCAAGCAGCAACTTATAATAAATCTCGTGTACAGGGCCTTGTGGAAGAGTTCCGCATTCCGCGACATGAAAATCCCAAATTGACAGAATTTATTCCTTCATGGAGATTTGCCAATGGCATGTTTGCTTTGGTTCTGTCATTTGGCCTCCTTTTCACCGCATTAAGAAGCCGAAATGCAAGGTCGTGGCGCTATGGGACAGGTAAGTTGATTTTCCTTGGTCACTTTTTGGATATATGGCATCATTTGCTTTGAGAACTTAAAAAGAAGCTTTTTTACAGGTTGGCTTAGAAGCCTTGTAGCAGACTTTGGTGTGCCACTTATGGTACTAGTGTGGACAGCTGTGTCTTACATACCTTCCGGAAGTGTTCCGAAAGGAATCCCACGTCGTCTCTCCAGCCCAAATCCCTGGTCCCCTGGCGCTTATGAAAATTGGACAGTTATCAAGGCATGTTTAACCAAGTACAATTGCTAATCAGTAGTACATATACTCGTATCCTTACAGGACTAATAAACTGACACTAGGAACTTGAAAAATGACAGGGCATGCTAAATGTTCCAGTTGCCTATATTATTGGAGCCTTCATTCCAGCCACAATGATGGCAGTGTTATATTACTTTGACCATAGTGTAGCATCTCAACTTGCTCAGCAGAAAGAGTTTAATTTGAGAAAGCCATCTTGCTACCATTATGACTTACTCCTTTTGGGATTCTTGGTATGCAATAAGTTTCCTCCTAGTCTTTTTCCTTAATCTAAAATTTTCCATTCAAACAATTATTTATTTTGTTTAGTATCCTTAACATTAATTTGCTTGCTTCTTGATGGCAGACATTGTTATGTGGCCTTATTGGCATCCCTCCAGCAAATGGGGTCATTCCACAATCTCCAATGCATACCAAGAGCTTGGCTACTCTCAAACACCAGGTACAATACCTTCTTTAAACCCTCTGAATAGTCCAAATTGGCGATCTTTTTCTAAGAAAAAACCTTTTGTTCAGCCTTCTTTTATGATCAAAATATTTTGCTGATACTGATTTTTGGTTATTCTGCAGCTGCTTCGTAATCAACTGGTTTCAACAGCACGCAAAAGTATAAGAAGGAATGCTAGCTTGGGACAAATGTATGGACAATGTATGGACAATGCAAGAAAACTATCAACAAATGCAGACCCCTTTAGTTTACCAGGATGGTTCAGCTCGAGTAAGATTGTGTTTAATTTCCATGACTACATAAAAAATATACCAACTTCTTGGTGAAACTAATTAAATACTATTATACATCAGAAATTTAGGGAGAAGTTGCAGTGCATATTAAATTCCATAAAGGGTTTAAAAAAGTTGACTACCGTGCTTCGATGACTAATAGATGACTTCACCATTAAGTTCCGTGAGATAAAAGAAATTATTATTGCTGGCATAATCAAGCATGCTACGCTATGATTAACTAATGATATCACTGTAATTTTAAAATTTTGAGTTCAATAATAGTATTCTTCAAAGGTCTTTAAGTTAAAAAATATGATTATCAGTCTTCTGTTGTAATTAATTAATTACTTAAACTGTCTTAAGAAGGGACTGAATGAACTAAAAGAATCAACCGTTCAAGCTGCTACATGTTCAGGCAACATTGATGCCCCATTGATGAGACTTTATTTGATATTGAGAAAGAGATTGATGATTTATTGCCTATTGAAGTAAAAGAACAGCGTCTCAGTAACTTGCTTCACGCCATCATGGTAGGAGGATGTGTTGCAGCAATGCCCATCCTGAAAAGATCCCAACTCCAGTCCTATGGGGCTACTTCGCCTTCATGGCTATCGAAAGCTTACTGGGTAACCAATTTTGGGAAAGGATCCTATTGCTCTTCACTTCACCAAGCAGAAGATATAAGTAAGATATTCAAAACACATTTATATTTTAGTTAGTCTAAAGTTTCCTTTGTCCTTGGCCATCTTGTATAACAAAGAAAGCTTTTTCTTTCCTGCAGAATCCTTGAGCACCAACATGCAACCTTTGTGGAGACTGTTCCATTCAAGACAATTGCAATATTCACCATTTTCCAAACTGTTTATCTGCTTGTATGTTTTGGCTTAACCTCGATTCCTATTGCCGGTGCTATGTTTCCTTTGATCATCATGCTTTTAGTTCCAATAAGACAATACATCCTGCCCAAGTTTTTCAAAGGGGCACATCCTTTTTATTTGGATGCCGCGGAGTATGATGAGGCACCTGCTTTGCCATTTAATATTGCCACAGTAAGATATCGTGTCCTACAATCAAAACTTTCCACTTGCCATTTATTACTAATCATTTAAACTTCCCCTTACATCTTTGATGTTTTGGGAATACAGGATTTAGAGCTAGGACATGGAGCATCCTATGCAGGGGATGATGAGATATTGGATGAAGTTATTACCAGAAACCGTGGTGAATTCAGGCATACATGCAGTCCTAAAATCACAAGCTCCACTGCGACACCAGCAAAGGACCCGAGAAGCTTTCAAAGCCCGCGCCTCCAATGTAGTCCACGTCTTAGTGAGTTAAAAGGAGAGAGAAGTCCCCGAGCAAGTGGAAAGGGATCACACAGTCCAAGGGTTGGGGAACCAAAACCATCTAATCTGGGGAAGAATCCTCTTAACCCAGGATCGAGCTAGTGGGAATATTGTTGAACATTTTGATAAATCTGTTTATAAGGAGTTTTTAAATGTTCCCTCTTCTCTCTTCTTCTTAAAGCCCAACTTCATTTGTAGCAACAGATTTCATTTGCATTTCTTGCCAGAAATATATATTAGGGATCACCAAATTTGCAGGTAGAGAGACCTGAAACAATTTGTCGCTTGTCTAGTCATACTATAAATAATATGTGATACAGTTTATTAATGTCATCCTCATAAACATATCATATCAGAAAAGAAAAGGAAATGGCAGATTCCAACAGGAAAATCTGTTCATAAGATGAAAGATAGAGTTTACCTAAATCAGTGTTTCGTTTAAATTAATCAGAATATAGATCATGAAGGAAAGTAGATGCACATCCAAAAGACTCCAAAAAAATAGTGAGTCGTTTTTTAATAAATAATTATGACATCTACTTTAGCATAAAACAAAGAAGATAAAAGGATAAAAAGGGCTTCTAGTTTACGTAACTGCATCCACGCACTCTTCTAAAAGTAAAAGACAATCTCCAATGAAATGAAAGCTATGACAATAACTCCTGCATATTTAATTATGTATGATTTAAAAAAACCAGAAAGAGCAAATATCAAGCAAAAGAAACTAAAAATATCATAGTAATAAGATAAACCAACCCTGAAGATGAATATATTATCAACAAACAACAATTTTTATCACATCTTTTGTGGGTGAACATGACAAAAAAAGTAATAAGACTAGACATCAAAGTGAAAGGTTGAGATCTAATTCTTGATGTTCCTCTGCTTTGCGCTTTTGTTCTCCAATCTTGGAAGAACTAGGAAGTGTTGTAATATTGTTTCTAAGATGTGGATCCTCAGCAAAGTCTTCCCATTTGAATGACGGTGTCCAAGTTGATTTGGTTTCTTTCTCTTTTGCTTTCTCTTTCTCCTTTGAATCCTGCGACCGAATCAACATCTGGTTATGTGCATCTCGAATATTTCTAACCAAAGTGAAGAAAGCATTGATCTTCTCTTCTTCTTCTTCTTCTTCTTCTTCTTCTTCTCCTCCTCCTTCTTCAGCATTATCATCAATTGCTGGAGTCTCCTTTGTCTTTGCTTCCATATATTTTCTCTTCATCAAAAAATGGCTATCGTTTTGTTACATTACTGTTTCTTTAAGAACATTGGAAGTTGTACTTGTACTGAATGGATTACTAGTTCCAAGAAGAAAGACCAATCAATTTTTTTTTTTAAAAAAGGGAGAATTGGGTAGTAAGGACAAATGAGAAGATAACCATAAAATGACCAAGCCACCCCCCTTAAACTCCCACTACAACTACCTCGAAATTGGACTTGCATAAATATTTTGGTAAATTTCTGTGTAACCTGAAGAATCAGATGACTTAGTCCTAAAGGTCGTGATGCGTGAAATTAGGCGGCTTATGTCACTTTTGTCCCTCTAAAATTGATCCTTTGTAATAGGTAAACTTTTTTATTAATTAAGTTTAATATAAAATTGAGTTAAATTCTCATGTGATAAAATTTAGATTTATGATTTCAAAATCTCTGTTTTATTATTGAATCGATCGTTGACATATATTCATTTATTAAAGAATTTAATTTAGATGCTCCTTTGCTAAATAATAAAAAAAATAAAACTCAAATTCAAAACAAAATTTAATTGGATTTTAAAATCATTTATTGAAGCATCATTTAATATTGAGTGGTAAAAATTAATATATTCGGACAATATAATTTTTTAATTTTATAAACGAAATTAAAAAATATCACATTTTATTTATTTATGTAATCTAAAATTATATATCATTCTATTAATTTTATTTATAAAATTTAAAAATATATGTGATAGTAAACCAAATAATTTTTTTAAAAATATGATTTGGCTTTATTTTGTTCATAGAATATGCAATTTTCTAAATGCTTTGGTGGACCCGAAATCCCGCACCATTATAGAAAACAATACAAATGAGGAAAACGCGGGACCTCAACTGCTTCGGCTTAAAGTTAAGCAATGTTGACCAAAATAAAATAAAATAAGAGTAATAGGAATACAAAATTTGTACCAAAGATTGTGAAAAATGTGATTCCTCATAACTTTTAGTCCCACCTTATTGTTGTTCTAGTGTTCTTTCTCACCCTTTATGTAAGCAGTTCCATCATCCTATTTACTAAAGATCCAAAGTGAAAGAAAGTAAACAACCAAAGTCATGGAGATGGCATAAGCTAGATTCTTCTTGTCTTCCTTTTTTTATTTTTCTTTTCGACCCTTTTCCAATTCACTCTCTTTGGCACATGACAATTTGGCAATTAGAAAATGAACGTGGTTTCAACACAATATCAATACGCTGGACAACAGAAAAACGCGGCTCAATTTCTTCCGACCCAAATCAAATATAGGCCACTGTGTTGGACTCCCCGGTAAATACAAAACTGAACCTGTTTCTGAAAATTTTTGAAAGAGATCATAATTATGAAACCTTGTTTAAGGGGATTTTTGTAAATTGAATTATCGATCCCTCCTATTTACTTTTCCAGTTTCTCTCTTCTTTTAACCCTCCTAGGCTGGGCCAATTTGGAAATGACACAATGGCAACAATGTTGGGGTTGGTAGAGGTGGCCCCATTAGTGGAGGCCGGGGCCCGTAAATCAGGGGGTGTTGTGTCCATGTCAAATTTACTGTCGCAATTGACTTCCAGCAATTTACATTCGTTATGATGACATCATCCGAGCCTGAACAATTGAAATTAATTTGCAAACCCTAACTGGACAAGAGATTGTTTTTGATAGAATTGGATAGTAGATTAATTTGCATTAAGACACTACAAATTAATTTGCCCAGTAATATATTGTGTGAATGATAAAAAGTTTTTGTCACTGCACTGTGAAAGACAGATAAACAGAATGCATGTGGGGGCCTGACAGGCACAAGTTGGAAATGAAACTACGATTAAGAAACTTGGAAAAGATATTAATGGGGATTTTAGCATTGTAGCAGAGTTATGGTTAAATAGGTAGAGATAAAAAATATCTGGGCACAAACGGAGTCCTACCCTTTACTCGTGAGACCACAAAAAAATACTGTTTCTGTTGTCTGAATTCTGAACAAACAAACCAAAACCACTCCCGTCTCCTACCCACCTATGTACTTCAGTCAAGATTTTTATGAAAAGCTTTCCTTTCCACGTTAAAGGAAGTGGATGCTTGACGCAACCCACCTCTTTTTTTTTTTTTTATATACTTTGTCTATGATATTGAATACCAGCTGTGATTTAATTTCAAAACCGAAACATCTTTCAAATGGGGAGACTGCATTCTACAGGAACTTCAAAGTTTAAACATAACAGCAGGTATTAACGAGATTGACCATTGATCACTAAGAACAAAACAATACATGATCAAACTCCTTTTGAACAAGAGAAAAAGTCGAAGCTGGTTAAAGGGTGAGCTTGAGATCTAAACCATCATCTTCTTCTTGTTTTTTCTTGTCTTCTTTTTTGTTGTATGGACTTGGAAAGATGATAGGTGGCCTTCGAAACTCAATCTCCTCGGTAAAATCTGCCAATTCAAAAGTTGGAACCCAACTTGATTGCTCATCATCTAACCTTCTTGTCTTGTTTTGCTTCTTCTTAATCTCCTCCCTTTGTCTGAGCTCATTCTTTCTCCTATTGCGCGCCTCGTGAAAATTCCTTATGAGGTCATAGAACTGCTCCATCTTCTGATCTTCTTTATCCTCATCTTCACCACTGCAAACTCGACTTCTCTTCTGGGTTGCCATATGAAAAAAAAAAAAAAAAGAAAAACAGGGGAAAATTCAGAGCTAATTCAGAAATTTATAAAAAAAAAAGGCTTGTTTTTTCCAATATCTGGTGTTTCTTCTTACAATTTTTTTTCTTTCAAATTTATCGACTTACTTATACAAAAAAGGGCATTTGGCCGAACTCATCAGGGTTGGGTTGATTTTCTAGAGAAAACCCTGGCCGTGGGGCGTAAAAGCAAGAATAGAGAATAACGCGTGGACTGATCGGTTCTATCACATCATGACATGGGGGAATGTTGGTGGCATGGTGACGTAAAGACTAGTAAGAAAGTTTACGTAACTCAGATGACGCAATATCAAACATAAAACAAAGGCTGGCATTTTGACTTGCGATTCTTGCCGCCGACCACACTGTTAACTGCCTTGATTTTGATTTTTTACCACAAAAGTCAAAACCCTCGTCCCCACAATCTCGCTCTCTCTCTTTCTCTCTCTCTCTCTGCTGTCCTTGACACTTTTTCCGCTACGGCCAATAAAGCATAGAATAAAATATCCTTTTTTTTTTTTTTAAGAATAAAAGGCACCGAAATTTTAGCAGCACGTACCAATCTTTATACAAAGATGAATGTAATCAATGACGGAGTCGCAAGAGGTTTGTGACACGAATTTAAAAAGAAATCTTAAATTTTATATCGAATATAAAAAAAATTATTAAAATATAAAAAAAGTTTATATTATTTTTTTTATAAAATTTTTTGTAAGATAAAATTGTGAAGTGTCAGAACGGATAATATCTCATAAATGTGTGAATCGTGATAGGTAAACTGATTTGAGATACCAAATAAATGAATGCCTGAGTTTTGGAACCGTAAGAATTCGAAGCATAAGTTTTGACTCGTGATAAGTGGTATCAGAGCCAGTCGTTCAATTTACACCAAGCGTCTCGATGAAGGTAAGCAGGGTGGTCAGCCTCCGTGACGAGGGCTTCACGACGTTAGGTGGAGCAGAATGTCACGGACCTAAGGAAGAGTCATGAATCTAACATCGAATATAAAAAGAGAGTCACTGGGATATAAAAGGGTTCACACCATCTCTTCCTTGTGAGACACTTTTTGTAGGACAAAATTGTGATATCATAGGGGCTAGAGCGGATAATTACTCACAAGGGTGTGAATCGTGACAGGTAAGTTGATCTGGGACATCGAATGAGTGAATGTCCAAGACCTGAAGCCGCGCAGGTTCGGAGCTTAAGTATTGACCCGTGACACTTGCGCATGACGAAACTAAAAAAAAAATCACGTATCTTTTACACAGCATTTTTTGTTTTTTTTTTCTCATTTTATTCTTTATTTTTACATCATTTACCTAAATCCAAAATGATTTGTACAATTTTCGATAATATATTATACGCTAGTTTTCGAAATGAAAAAATACGTATATATGACTTACTATATATGACTTACAATTTTCGAAATGAAAGCAAATACGTATATATGACTTACTATATATTATACGCTAGTTTTCAAAACATAAAGCATTGATGAAAAAATAATAAGGTATTAAAGTCATACCAGGTATTTTATCCTTTTTTTTTATTCTTTCATATTTATTTGCACAATTTTTTTATTCACTTAACAAATATACAAAAAATTTCATAATTAGAAGTTATTGTTTCGAGACATTCTTGTTTTTGGTAACAAATTTTCTTTATTCGGTTCTTATGTATTTATAATTTCTTATCACGAATTTATATGCTATAAGCTCAATATTTATCTAGATAGTTTAGTCATAAAAAAATGGTGTTTATTGTTATACATTATAACTTGTTTGTGACACGTGCGATGCACGAATTAATTTTATTTATTAATTAAAATATTTTAAATTTGTGAAATTATTAATTAAAATTTATTATTACAAACAAAATCAAAAAATTATATTAAAATATCTGTCAACAATTAAACATCAATTCACACTAAAATATTTATGTAACCAATAGATAAAAAAATTACTTTGGATCCAAAAGAAATTTCTTTGAAATATAGTTGATTCTCACTTTTAGATCTGTGTGATTCCAAAACCAATAATTAATGTAAAAAACCTACTCAAGTTACAAAAATATATAAAAACATATTTAAGTTACAAAACAGTAAAAAATAATCTAAAAATTATTGAATTGAAAAATATTTATTGAGTAAGCAAAACTTATTATCATTATTTTCATGAAAAATAATATTTTCTGGCATAATATTCATATGCACAATTCATGCTATCACTTTCTTAAATTGAGAAAAATGTGTTAATATAAAAGTTAAAAAGATAAATATTTAAAATTTTAAATATAGTAGCAATAATAATAATTATTCTCTTTACTTTATTTTTGTTTTCCACTTTTCATTTAATAAAACATTATAATAAATATAACCTTGCATGTTAAAAATCATTACCGATAAGTTTCATATGTCCAAAAAATAAGTAGTAGGATTAATGACTAAACAATTATTTGGCACCTAAGTAGAATATTCGCATAGAATAGGATTTTCATAAAGTTAAACTCAATACATAATACAAAAAATCTAATAAATGAAATACATGTATATTATCTATAAATGATATAAAACCAATTTCTTTATTCAATGATTTTTTCTTGGCATAACAAAAATATATATACCCCAAAATTTTGTTTTAGTTTTTGAAAACTATGATCTTGATAAAAAAAAAAAAGTAATTAAAATAATTAAAAAATGTGAAGTAAATAAAAAAAGAGTTAAAAAAAACAATAATGTTAGAAAATAAAATTAACACAAAAAGAATTGACATATCATAATTTAACAATATTGATCAAACCATTAAAAATATTAAGAAATTTACATTAAAAAAAAGAATTTGAATAAAAATAATATACTTTTAGGATTATTAAATATGGAAATACATACTTCATATTTAACCTGTAATCAATGCAAGTTCAATCGAGGAAATATTAAAAGATTTTGAAAGTATAAAGGATATAATAAATGATTTTTTTTAATTAAAAAAAATACACTAAATATTAAAAGATTATGAGAAAATCTATGAAGATATTGAAATTTTCAAATTTAAAAGAGATATATGTATATTATTGAATATTTTTATTTTAAAAGAAATATATCTAAATTATATTTAATTTGTATGCTTTACATATAATTAACCCAAATGCTTAAAGTAATGTACATACGAAAAAGCCAAAAAGTTAATAAAACTATAATGATTTCATCGAAAAATATTTGATATTTAAAAGTTAGCATTTGAATTTTGGATTTGATATACATTGATAATAAGAGTTAGTTGATATTTTTGTGATTTAAATTAAGTTAACGTTTATATAAATTTGAAATATTAGATAAACTTAATTTTTAAAATTTTAAAATTATTTAGTAAATTAAAGAATTATCTTATGTATAGATTGTACATGTAAGTAATCATACAAAAATGCTTATTTGCTCGTACATTTAAAACTATCTTATGTGTCATCAAAATATATTGTATACATAGAATTTTACGTGAGCAAATCTTACAAGGTATTATTATATGTTGTAATATAATATTATATATGATTGATTTTTCATTTAAATCTTTATAAACTTTAATCCATAAATATATTTAAATGAAAAATTTTATCTATAAATAATATATAATTAGATAATAATATTTAAATTTTAGTATTTTATATCTTTATCTTCTAAAGAGAAATATCTAATTAGATAATTATTTGATAAATCTAGACTTAAAATATTTCATCAAAGTGATCAACATGGCTTATTAGAGTTTAAATGTTATCTAACACAAATTTTCTTCTTACTGTTATTTAGTTGTACATTGTTTATTTCATTTGCATAAATAAATAAACAAATTTATTGAGTTTATTTTCTTATTTGTTATTAAATCATACTAAAAAATATCTTAGCTTAAGTAAGTTCCAATTAAATTTATTATGAATTAAGAAATAAAAAAAATATTATAGCTGATTTGAAAAAAAAATCCTACTTGATGGAGTGAATAATATGTTTAGTGAAATAGTACCTATCATATAAAAAAAAGCATGTTAGTTTCTATAGTAATAATAGACTAATAAAAGAGAGATTAAATTAATAGTAAGAAAAATACGTTTAGCTCATATGTTTTGTAGGACATTAGAAAAACTATATAACTAAGAACTACTAATAATAAGGGTTTTCCTAAAATTATTATGGTATTTATATCTTTTTTTTTTCACATTTTCTTAAAATATGAATATTAAAAGTCTATGACAAATATTGATTTAAATTTAAATTTTATTTTAATTTAGATATATCTAAATCTATTTTTTAAAGCTAGTGGATTGTTTAATAAATATTTTTTTATCTATAACTAATATATTTAAAAATTGAAAATAATGTGAGGATTATTTATAAAAAAATTAAAGATATTAAATAATATTTTTAAAAGTTTTGATAAATTTAAATAATCATATTAAGTGCAAATAAATTGGAAAAGATAAATTATTTTAAAATTAATTTTAAATTGAAATAAGGTAAAGTACAGGAGAAAGGAATTTCATTATCATTTAAATTAATTTTTAATTAAATTTTAAAACTTTAGATAATTTTATAATTTTTAAAATATATTTTTTATAAATAATTTAAAATTAATAAATATCTTATGTGTCATCATAATGAGAAGTTTTATAAATTATTTTACGTGTCAAAAAAAAGTTGTCAACATGAGCGTTCATGTCAACAAATACTACATGATAACTAGGTATGTTATTTTCTTATTTGTTATTAAATCATAATAAAAAATATTTTAGTTTAAGTGGGTTCTAATTAAATTTATTATGAATTAAGAAATAGAAAAAAATGTTACAGCTGATTTGAAAAAAAAAATACTACATGATAGAGTGAATAGTATGTTTAGTGAAATAATATCTATTATAAAAAAAAAATATGTTAGTTTCTACAATAAAAATAGACTAATAAAAAGAGAGATTTGATTAATAGTAATGAAAATAAGTTTAGCTCATATGTTTTGTAGGACATTAGAAAAGTTATATAATTAAGAATTACCAATAATGAGAGTTTTTTTAAATTGTTCTAGTAGTTATATGTTTTTTTCATATTTTCTTAAAATATCAATATTAAAAGTCTATAACAAATATTGATTTAAAT